CGGACTAAACTAGTGCTTTTGTTTACTAAAGACAGGTTTCATCTATTCATGCCTAGCAGACCTGATTGCCAATCGATACAATACAACTCTTCTTATTTTATGTGGTTGACTTTCGAATTAGAGCAGAATTTGGTAATCAAGACATATTAATCATTGATAGACACCAATTTTTCCAAAATAAAGTAAATATATGTTGAAAGACATAAATTTGTCAGCATTTCTACTACACATTGGTAGAGTCCTAGCACTCATGGAAGGAAAACGAATAATTAACTAGGTAATATACATCATGAAGGAGAATGAAATTAAAATAATGTATACATGTTGTCCAATAATTATCTAGAGCAACGTGAGATCAGAAAAGTTGCTGCTAGTACACAATGAGTTTATCTTAGAATCTACACAAGCTCACAAGGATTGGTTGGCAATGTAATTGTAGCTTTGATTAGAAGAGAAACCCATCAATATCATGGCCACTTGAACAACCATCACCACTACCACCAAGGTAACTGATGCCACCACCACCACAATCATGTTAAGCTGCAATTCCTCTGCCTCCACTTCTACTCAACTTAAAATTTACCTTCATCACAAGAGCACAAGCACTACGATTAACGAAATATCACCTCAACCACATAACGCTGGCAGTCCTTCCATTGGCACTACCTCCATTAAAGTTGAATGGCTTCTCTACCTTTAAAGGGCGATACACTCTTTACTAGTGATGAAGGACAGCTTAATTTATATTTAAAACAAGGAAAATAGTGTTAGGGTTTGTAAAATAATGGATTCCAAGAGATAAGTTCGGATTATGATGATTAAGGCCAGTTTGACAAATTTAAATGAACAGAAATTCAGCCAATGGGAAAAATAAAAGAGAAAGTACCTTACTCCGTAGGGGCTGCTTGAGTTCCACACTCGAGTCAGTAGAAGAATTCAACGACCATGCTTTAACCAGGAAAAACTTTTAATAGAAACTACAGTACACAAATTCCTAAAAATAAAAATTTCCTACAACCATGACTTTCTAAACTACTATAACAGCATACCTAGTCCTAGTCAAGAATTTAAAAAAAAAAATAGAAGTTTTGAAACTAAAAACATATCCCTAACTGGTAAAATCACTAAACTACCATATACTAAAAACAATGGATTGTGAACAAGTCTTTTCCCCTTCTTGTTTTTCCAACATCAACTAGATTGTAGAAACTAACAATATAAGTTGCAATATCCAACTCTTAAGATTTAGAAAGCATTGAACTTTGAACTTCCAAGACTATAAATATAATAAATTACTAAAGACTGTGTAACAGAATAATGGAATCTGGGAGGATTTTATTGTGTTGTTAGGTCATCGACTCCCTGGCTACCTTCCGAAATACACCTATTGTAACATATGAATAATTTTAAATGAGACTTCACATGTCTTTAATCACTCTCTAAAAAACATAAATCACTGCATTGTCTGTTAGGTTAAAGATCTCACCCCAGCTTTCAAATTGAAATCTGAAGTCTGAAACTTGGAAGAACATATGGCAATAGATTATTACAAAGAGGAAAAATCAGACATTACCAGATTTTATGTTCTTGGTTGCAGGGTCTAGAAGCACAGATGTGCTTAAAACCTAACAAACAAATTATCATTGCATCAAGAAATGAAACACTAACAAACGAGAGACTTTTTTTTGTCTTTGAGAAACATACACTCATATCCCAACAAGGACTTGAACCTTACACCTTTTTAGCAACAATAGGAGATTCAACAGATTGTGCCAATGTTCAAACCATAACTTAGTAGACAGAGAAACAACATGTCTCCAATAGTATACTCAAATAATCATATGACTAAAGTATAAAGTTCTTGTCAGGAAAGAAAGTCAACCTTTAATCATAACAAAGATATTAACTATGAAGGCATAAAACATACATATGAAGAAAGAAAGAAGGAAAGAAGAAAAAAATTAGAAATGAAAGAAGAGAACTATATATAGAATAGCAGCATGCTATATAGCATCCCTGAGCAATGACTAAGCCCCCAAGACCATGCAGGAATACGTCGATGTAAACTTAGTAGTCATTCATTTAATTACACAAGGTCACCTAATAAATGTCTTGGTCAAGTTAATATTCTTTTACATGTTGCGTTAAGGGACAATAGGGCTATCATGCATGAATCAAACATAATGGGAAGGTGTTTTAGGTTACATAAATTAATTTGAAATTAAAAAAAAAAAAAAATGATGACTTCTTGCCAAGAAAAATAAATAAAAAAAGTTACTAGATTTGGATAGTACCAAAAGTAATCCTAATAAAGACTTCTATTGCACATTTAATGGAGCAAAAGAATGCAGGCTCCAAATTTTGTCGAAATTGCATTTTAGGTTTACGATGGTAGTACAATGATTACTATTCATGGTAATACGATATTATTCATGTTTTCATGTTTTACTAGTCATTGGTATAAACTATTCGATCAAATCTTATTAAACATGCAGAAGAATTAAATTTTATACAAATTCCCACTCCAATTTATCTATATGAATAGTCTCACAATACTTTGAAGTAACAACCGAGCAAAAAACAATATGGAAAACAGTTGACAACCTGTTCAAGTAGGAAAATAAGAAGAAGAAAACAAATCTAAAGTAGAAAATAAGAAGAAAATAAACATATATATATTCATATAAAAATTAAGAGTAGCCATCCATTTTTTGTAATACAAATGTGATTCAAATATATAGTTATTGATGTCCAATAGTATACTAAACAATCATATGACTAAAAACAAAGTATAAAGTTCTTGTCAAGGAAAGAAAGTCAATCTATTATCATAACAAAGATATTAACTATGCAGGCACAAAAAATACATGTGAAGAAAGAAGACATAAAAAGAAAGAAGGACGAAGGAAAAAAGGAGAAATAAAAGAAGCAAACTATGTATAGAATTGCAGCATTCTATTCAACATCCCTGACCAATGGCTAAGCCCCCAAGACCACGTAGCAATACGTCGATGTAAACCTCATAGTCATTTAGTTCATTACACATGATCACCTAATAAATGCCTTGGTCACGTTAATATTCTGTGCCATGGAAAAGCATTTAGGGACAATAGGGCTATCATACATGACTCAAACACAAGGTAAAGTTTAAAATAGAAAAAATGATGACTTTTTGTAAAAATACAGTTACTAGGTTTGGACAGTACCAAAAGTGACCCGAATAAAGACTTCGATTGCAAATTTGAGAAAAAGAATAGAGGCTGCAAATGTCATTGAAATTGAATTTTAGGTTTACAATGGTAGTACAATGATTACTACGATTCTATTAATATTTTATGTTATACTAGTCATTGGTATAAACTATTCAATCAAATCTTATTAAACATGCATAGGAGGAATCAGATTTTATATGAATTTCCAATCCAATACTATATGAACAGTCTCACAATTGAAGTAACAGCAGAGGAAAAAAAATGTAGAAAACAGTTGGCAATCAACCTCGGGTATTATTAGTATATACACATTCATTTACTAAAACAAACAGATCTAAACTTGAAATAAGATGGAAAAGTATATATATGCACTAGCTTCCTAAGTAGGAAAATAATAAGGATGAAGAGGAATAGAACCAACCTGTGTCATCTAATGAATCTAACTAAATCTGAGTCAGCTACTCATCCCTTTTTTTTTTTTTTATTCTTTTTTTTTTATATAATAATAATGTCATCATTGACAACTACCAGAAAGAAAAGAAAAAAAAACCTATACACTTGGTTGGTTAGAAATATGACATGTCACAAAGAATAAAGATTGAAAGAAAGTAACAAAGATTGAAAGGAAGTGAAAACAATCGATTTTAAATTTGGTACAAACAAAATGAAATCTTAAAATAGAACCGTATCCTTAAAGAAAAAAAAAAATAGTGATGAAAGAGAGATCGCGGAAGAGAAAGAAGCTACATAGATTAGGATTCAAATCAATTAGCAGATCGCTGGCCTTATGGGCCGAATGCAATCCGATGCTTTGTCAACCTTGATGTTGGGGGCTCAACTCTCCTTTTGGTTCTTTTGTCTTGTGAACCAAAAAAAAAAAAAGAAGAAGAAGAAGAAGGAAGAGGAGAAGAAGAAGAAGAAGAAGAAGAAGAAGAAGAAGAAGAAAAAATATGTTAGAGCAAATTGGTCACCAAGAGAGCCCAAGGGAGCTTTGAGCACCCAAACAGTTTGAAAATTCAGTTGCTCAAGCTATGTGAGTAAGAAAATAAAAGCGATGAAGAGAAGAGGTCAATTGCTTTGTCATGTATACAAAGGATGTGACTGAGATTCTCAGGAGAAATTACAGGAAAAAGGGAAGTGTTTCAATGATTTGCTGCATAAGATATGCAGGTCATTGGCAATAAACAGCTTCATTTCCCAGAAACCATAACATAATTATAAAATTCAAACAATATTCAAGATGAACATATAATAGCAAATCTCACGTTGAAATGACGTCATTAATACATTAATTCTTCTTTGTGATTATTGTCCAGCTATGTTTTTTAATATATTTCATTCACTCATCAATACTTCGGCACCACCGATGGTAAAGATAACGTGGATTTTTTATTGGTCTCACAGCCTTTGCAAATGCATCATTTCATCACCTCGCCAAAGTTTTGAATTACATTCTATACTTAGAAACTCAATAAGCTAAAACAGGAAGTAAAATCAATCATATTAGAAACAACACGTTATTGACGTGACAAAACCATTTCATTGCAAAAGCCATATATAAATTTATCGGACAGGAAATAAAATCAATTTAACATATCAGAAATGACATATCCTTGATGTTAAGAACCATTTCATTGCAAAAGGCATAAATATACTTACAACTGTCGAAATTATTACATCAAGAAAGGGGAATTACATTCTTAACTAGAAGAAACAGAAGACTAGAAAGGAAACAAATGAAACAATGAAATGGAGATGACGCTGACGATCTTGCAAAGACGGCTTCCATCAAACATCAAATATGGTTTCCATGCATGGATAGATGGCAAAAAATCGACAAAACTGTATATTACCAACATCAGCCGGAAGCAGCTTCAAATCACAAACCTTCCTAAAACTTCTATCCTTGAAGTTATAGGATATGACTTTGAAAGGTATGTATAACATCAAGCATAAATCGCCTCCTACTTCACTTCCAAGGAAGCAAAGAACATCGACTCCGTAGGTCGGAAAACGGCCAGGGCAAGGACGAATCATCTCCGGAAAAGCCGATACACCCATCTGAAGGTCAACCCGGTATTTCACGACCCACTCAGAATAGTCATTCTCCAACTCCAACACATCGAACCGACGACCACATCTTTTATAACATTCAATTAATCGTAGATGACCCCCACACTCCCCAAAAAACACTGGAACCTTTTTGAGACAACTTGGCATCGGCAATGGCAAGAATTCATCTCGATTAATATCATAACATGTTGATTCTTTGGAGTAGCAACGAGGCCAATGGATCTTACCATTTAAAAAAATGCCATTGTCAACTACTATATTCTCTGATAAAGTAAATGATTTCTCAGAAAACACCCAAGTTTGAGTTTCCGAGTAATATACGGCAATTCGAAAATTAGGGCTGTTCCATTTTCTAGAACGGAAAGCAACTACTTTGTAGTGCAGTGAAATGGCCGGATCAAACGCTAAGTTCATAGAAACTAAAAAGTTTCGGTTATCCCCATTTTTGGGCCTAGGAATCATGGAATATTTCTTAGTGGTGGCATTGAGAACATAGTAGCGAGTGTGTACAGAATCAGCACTAGGCCAAGAGGAAGAGATGAGCAATAAGCCATTACAGGATTGCAAAATTTTGACTCCGTCAGGTTCATCGAACAAATTCAGAGATACAGGAAGACTCGAATCCACAAAACCATTAACAGATATGTGATTGAATTCGATATCGGGGGAAAAGGGAGAGGAGTACCTTCGGAAGTAAAACGAGGAAGGAGAATTCGGCGGAATCCAATCACCAACAACGTACGGATCGGAAATGAGATTGAACCATCTCTCGGATACGGTCTTGAAACTGAAGAGTGGCTTCGGAGGTAACCGAATGAAGATCTGCTTCAGCAGATTGTCGTCTGCGGCCACTTTTTCGGCGGATGTGAGAGTGAGGCGGCGGCGTTGGGGAGTCGAAGAAGAAGCCATGGCGGCGGAGGCGGTGGTGGTGGAGGATCGGGTGGCGTTAGAGAGAGAGATAGGGTTAGGGTTAGCGGTGGAGAAGAAGATATAGTGTAGAAGGAAGGCATGGAGAAGGACAGGTGGTAAATGCTCTCTCTCGATTCTCTGCTCAGCTCAGCTCCGATACATACATTTTTCCTTAATTGGTAAGAGACGTTGCCGCTATATATCTTCTTTCCCTCCCGGTTTGAATTCGGAAGGGAAAAAATTAAAAATAATACTAATAATAATAAATGAGTTTACCCTTTTCTTTATTTGGGCATTTTTTCATAAGTGCCTCTATACCTATTCCAAGGCCAAGTTTAGTATGATTGAAAAAAAATAAAAAGTCAAAAAGTTACTATCTTATTTAAGTCACATCACCTCTTTAACACATTACTTCAAAACCAACCCAAACCCAACCCATATTTCATAAAAAGTCAAAAAGTACACTTATTTAGTCTTCCCAAACTAGGCAGTCTAAATTATTTTTATATAGGATAAATTATAGGAAAATTTACCCATAAGTCCTAGTTTTTGAAAAATTGAACCATTTAGTCCTAAAAGTTTTCTTATGCTCCATTTAGTCTCATTTACACATCAATTTGATGTTCGAAATTTAATGTTCGAAACATTAATCTCATGTTTAAAACATTGTAATGAGACTTTCAGTCTATAAGAAAACTTTTAGGACTAAACAGTGTATAAGTTTTTAATTTGGGATTTATTGGTGCATTCTCCTAAATTATATCGACACCCCTTAAAGTTTGATTCAATTACTATCTACCTTTGACGTTTTGGAAATTATATTTCCACTCGTGTGGTTAATAGCCTCATTTTACAAACTCTCCTGCTTATATAAAAGATAACAACTCCTAATAGAAAAATAAAAGAAATTACATTAAAAAAAAAAAGAGTAAAGGAAAGGAAAAAAAAAAAGAAGAGAAAGTAAAACAAAGCAAAGCAAAAAAGAAGAGAGTGCATGAGTTCAATATCTTCATTTCGTCTCAATAATTACAATGACAGGGGAGTTAGTGTAATTTCCCAAACGTCAGGGGATGATATGTATTAAACTCAAACCTCAAGGGGTGTAAGTGTAATTTACCCTTTTATATATTATAATTAATTTCATGAGTAATATAATAATCAAAATATCTCTAATAATAATAGGATAAAACATATATTAATGTTGATATTGTGAATGTTTCATGATATAAATATTTACACTGTCAAATTTATTTAAGATAAATGTTCAAATCACTAAGTTGCTAAGAGTTTAAAAATTATTTATAAGGGCAAAATTATTCATAAAATACCTTAAACATGATAATTTAGATCTGGTGGATCAAATATCCAAAATAATACGATTTATTGAAATACAATAATATCTTACAGACTAATTGGGATACAAGTACTTGAAAAAGAATTTTCTAATAAATTCTCCTTATTTTTTTTAATAAGAAAATAAATTATAAATACACTCTCTAAGATTTAATTAAAATAGGAATTCTCTTATGTGGTTTTGAAAATTACAAATACTCTCTGATCATAATTTTTTTTCTTAAAAAAATGAAATTCATAACTAGGGCAATGCTGGGGACCCCAGTGGGGGCGACCCCCAGCACCCCCAATGACAGTTGGCGCACTACCAATGGCTCAAAACCAAAAAAATAATAATAATAATAATTTTTGGGCCAATCAGAGATGACCCCCAGCACCCCCACTGGGGGTCCAACTCATTTTCCTTCATAACTATTCTCTCATAGAACAATAAAATTACATCAATTATTAATTGAAATGTATTTCAAAAATTCTAACATCGTTAAATTTTTTTTAATAACTTGATGAATTATTAATAAAATGGCTCATTTATTATGCGATTAAAAACTTAAACCGGCATAATATAATTTTTAAAATCGCAGAAGACAATTTGTACTTTAAATAAATCTTAGGGGTGTATTTGTAATTTATCCTTGAATAAGTAAAGAGGACAAAAATATAAACAAATCACAAAAATAGTTTTATGAGTTTTTAATTCTTATTTTTTTAACAGTGTAATCATTTTTATAAATTTTTAGGTCCACTTAATTTAGATACACATAAAAAGTATAAAATTTTTGTGAAAATCTTTAGAAATTCATTGAACACAAACAAAAATATAAAAATTTAGTTCATTTTCATACTTTTTTGTATTCAATAAATTTTTTAATTTTTACAATTTTGTACTTTTTAAGTATATTTAGATTAAATAGATCTAAAAATTAAAATATATAAAAATGATTATGATGTTAAAAAAATACTAAAACCAAATATATATATATATATACATATATATGAATTAAAAATTTAGAAAACTGTTTTTAAGAACTTCAAGCCAAATAGAGTGATTTGTTTCTATTTTTGTCCTCTTTACTTATTCAAATAAGTGATACGAATAAAGAAAAAAATCATTTATTATTCATAATTTTATATGAATTAAAAATGTTAGAGAATTCAAATAAATTATCAAATATTCTATTAAATATACATGGGAGTGAGATAGGGGTGGACAAACATCAGGCCATGTCAAATTCAAGTTGGGCTAATACTATATAATAAGAAGATATGTGTCATTCCAAGTTCGATCCAGTTAGACATTAGGCTTAATCAAGTCATCCCAAGCTCAACCCTAAAAGAAAATTTAAATTTCAAATCCATCCACTTAACCAAAAAGATATGGGCTATTCAATTTTTTTCTTATGAATTATTAAATTATTTAAACTTTTAATAATTATTTGAATTTTTTAAACATTAACAAAATGTAATTATAAAATAAATATGATATTTTAGACATATGTTTTAATTTAAGCAATAGAAGAAGAGTATATATATTTTCTTATCTTTTACTATTTTTCTAGTATTTTTTGTAACTAAATAAAATAAAATTTAAAATTAATATTTTATAAATGGGTTGGGCTGGGCTCATTTTTTTTTATCCCAAGCCTAGTTCGAAAATTAAATGAGAACAAAATTTGAGCCCAACCTGGCCCTATGGGCTAATACATTTTTTCCAAAAATTAAAAATATTGAGTTGGGCTGAGCATGTAAGGCGAGCCATTGGACCCACGAGATCCGTGTGAATATTGTGTAAAATATTTGATAATTTATTTTGGATTCCTATCATGCTCTATTTGAATTTGTCCAAAAGTTCAGACTGTTGGAAATTTAAGATTTGCTTTTTTAGTAATCTTTTTGTTGGCTTATTTTCAAATTTACTGAATTATTTATTTTTTTAATTTATAAAGTTTTAGTCTTATAGATTCTACTCGACGAGACGAACTATAAAATTTTTAAAATCAAGAAAAAGTAAAAACAAGTAAAACACAGTGGAATTTTTATTTTTTTTTACTTTCTTTTTTTAATTTGATTTTTTTTAAAAAATAAAAAACCCTTTTAGATTTGTTTTCACACAATACACTGAAAAAGTAAAAAGTTTTGACATAATTTTAAAGATATGTCACTGAAGACAAAAAAAATAAATGTAACTTATATAGAAGTTCCAAAACAGCCAGAGATAAAATAAACCAATTAAATATTATTGTATTATAATATCAAAATTACTATTTTAGATATTAAGAAAAGAAAACATGGACACTAATAAAAAATTAATTTGATTATATAACGTGATATTATTATTATTTTTTTTTCTTTTTTCTCTCCTATTTTATCTACGCAATGAGAGAAATCACAATTTTTTCTCTTATTTTGTTCTCTCCTAATTTATACCAGAATTCTCCTAGATCACGACCTGTTTAATACTCAATATTTAAAAAAAAAATTATTTTTAATCTCTACTAAAAACATATATGAAAAAAAAGTTAATGATATTCAATCTATTAGCTTCTATTTATACACCAAAACAACTCCTTACACACTCATTTTTTTTATTTGGCTACAATTTTATCCGTATATAAATTTAGAAAACATACTATCAGTTTGGTTTCAGTTTTCAAAATTCATTCTTTAGAAATTTCTACTTTTTCGTTTTCCGTATTTTTTTTGTGTTCATTGAAATTTTTTAATATTTTAAACAATTTTTTTTTAAAAAAAAATTAGACACACTTAACATAAATGTACTTAAAAAGTATAATATTTGTAAAAAAAAAATCTTTAAAAAATTCAGTAAATACCAAAAAAAAAAAAACGAAAATTGCGTATATTTTTCATATTTTTGTGCATTTATTAATTTTTTAAAATATTTTTTTACAAATATTTTAAAATTTAGATACATCTAAATAAGGTGCATTTAAAAAAGTAAAAAAAAATTTAAAATTTTAAAAATATTTACTAAAAACAAAAAAAATACAAAAAATCAAAAATTTAATTTTTTAAAAATTAAATTTAAAAAAGTGCAACCAAACACATTGATGTCCACCCACCCAATTGATCCCGACCACCTTTAGCCACCTATGCCGCCATTACCGTCACTAATGTAGGCATCGAGGGTTCCATATTAATGCACACATGATAGAAAACCACCATTTTCGATTACAATTCTCCTTTCTGACAAATAACAATACTCAACTTTGTTACGCCTGCTTAATATGTAAAGCGTTATAGCATTCCTACCAAATTACTTATATTTTATCTTACAATATTATTAAAAATTTTATTTTTTATTTTAGAAATCACTTTTTCATCTATTTTTCCTAACAGACTCTCTATTCTATTAACAAACTCTATATTTGTTTACTCTATTCTATTAAAATATAATTTTTCATTATAAATTTTTTAAAAATAAAAATCATAATTGTGTACTACGGTCCCTAAACAAAACAAAACAAAGCAAAAAATATATATATATATATATATAAGGGTGCTACAGTGACTCCCTACAAACAGGGAGGCACTGTAGCAATTTTTATTTTAGAGGAGTGTTTAAAAAAACTGCTAAAAATGTATAGGGGTCATCAAACTCCTTAAAATAGGTAAGGAGAGAATATAAACAT